TGAAACCAGAGAGGGAACACCACTTGCCAGAAGCCAGAGCAGATCAGCAGGGCTTTGAGACCCGTCTGCCCTTCTCAGCTCAGGAGCAGTGGGTCAGAAGTGAGTCAGTTCTGGGGTGGGAGAGGTTAGGAGGCTGCTGTGCCGGAAGTTCCCCAAGAGCCTTCCTCCTTACACCACTTACCCGGGCCTTCATGCTGCTGCCGCTGCTCAGCAGTCAGGGGGCTGCCGTCTCCAGGGCTCGCGCTGGGAAGGGATGGGGGCCAGGCACCTGCCAAGATCCAGAAACTCAGAGCTAGGTCCTGGGCTTCTGAGGAAAGGCCGCAGGGAAACTGAGGCAGCGGAGGGGGCGGGCCAGCGTCAAGGCAGATGACTCCCAGGAATCAAACTCCTTAAAGCCCCCAAACACCGGACAGCGCGGTCCGCATCGTAAAGGAGCTGGTATCGAGTGAGTGACCTTCGGGGAAACATCCCACCAACCCAATCCCCATTATGCAGATGGGGAAGGAGAGGCAGGGAGGGGGAGCCCTCGGCTCAAGGTCACTCGTCGAGTCCGGGTCAGTTAGAACCGGGAGCCAGGAGCCCCGACTGCCGCCCCATCCCTCCTACCTCACTGGACAGAGAGGCCTGGGGCGGGATATTTCCACCCCTCTCCCAGATTCCAACGCCCCCTCCCCCGGCCAGGCGCTAACCAGGCAGACGGGCTGGGGCGCTCCGGCTGCTCTCGATCCGCTGCTCGGAGCTCCATGGCCCGCAAACCGGGCGGTCCGGGCGGGAAGCCGGAGCGCTGGGGCGGAGGCGGCACCGCGGCCTCGGCTTCTGGAGGATGGAAACCGAACGTGAGCCGCCGGCAGCGGGGGCGGGGTCTGCGAGGACCGGGAGGAGACTGGAGCGCTGGGGGCGGGTCCCGGGAGACGGGGGCGGGACCTACGAGCTCCGCCTCCGCTGCGGGGGAGGGAAGTGCGTGGCTGGCCGCTGGGCCTCCGGATAGGGGCGGGGCCGGGGGCGGAGTCCGAGGGCGCGCTTCTCCCCACCTTTTACCGCCCTCCCACGTTTCTCCCGAGCTGCTCTCGGGGGTCGGGTGGGCGGCGCGCAGAGGAAAGACCTAGGGAGTGTGGGAACTGGCGCGCGGTGGCTACCCAGCCGTCCGGACTCGAATTTCTCCATTTGTGAAACTGGGAGATGGGTGGGAAAATTAAGCAGGGCCTTGGGGTCAGGCTGACCTGGGTTTCAAGCTTGTAGGATTCCCAGATTTAGCCGGTAAAATACGGGACGCTCAGTTATACTGGAATTTCAGATAAACAATGCATAATTATATTTAAAATCTGACATTCCAGTGTAACTGGGCATTCTTTATTTTCTCTGGCGACCCTAGCCACCTGAGCATCAGTTTTTCTCCTCTATGAAGTGAGGATTAAAACAGCTCCTGCCAGTAAGATTCCAACCCTGAGGGGCACCTGGGTGGCTCCGTCGGTTAAGCCGCTGCCTTCGGCTCAGGTCATGATCCCAGGGTCCTGGGATGGAGTCCCACATCAGGCTCTTTGCTCAGCAGGAAGCCTGCTTCTGCCCTCCCCCCTCCCCCACCCGCCTCTCTGCCTACTTGTAATCTGTCAAATAAATAAATAAAATCTTAAAAAAAAAAAAAAAGATTCCAACTCTGAGCTATCTCACTGCCACGTACTTTCACCTCTTCGCCTCCCCCTTCCCAAAGTGTCCTCCAAACCCCAACCAACTCAGTCTTGCACCCCTGCAGATGCTGAAATGTATCCCATTTGAAGGCTCAGACGGGGTACCCTGGGAAGTTCAAACTCAAGTGCCTTTCAGGGGCTGGAAAGGGTTGAAAGAACATATATAGGGCCATAGGGAGGAGTGCGCCCGCGGCGAAGTGGAGGGCATGCTTCTCATCTAAAGTGTTTTTTATAAAATGCTCTTTGGGCCAGAAAGCTCATCCTACCACCTCCATCACACCCTCCTCTGCAGGACCTTCCCCTGGGATCCAGGCTAGGTTTCTGCTCCGACCCCAGTTCAAACTCCATTTGTCTTTTTCTCAGAGCCTCTAGTGTGGGCACAATGCCAAGGTACCTGTGTTTGGGTATCTGCACCCAGATAAGCAACTTCCCAAGGCTACCTATTCTGCTCTAGTGCAAAGCCAAGTCTGCCATGCCTCTCCCTGTCCTATGGGGGGAAGGTGACACTCTATGGCAGCCCTGCCCTTGAGCTTCCTTTGAGTACAGGCCCACCTTGTCCATCTCTTGCAGCCTGGGAACAGCTAGAAGGTAGTGGTCCAAGTTCAATCTCTCTCTGTAGTCTCCTATTCACACAAGGCCAGGCGCACAGTGGGTCCCCAAAGCCAGAGTCCTCCTGCATCCCCTCCCAAGTCATCATCCTTCAAGTGTCTCTCCTTATAGCCCCAACCCTAAGGGGACAATGGTGAGACATTCCCTAAGGATTCATTCATCACCCACAATGGCTGGTGAAGTGACCATTCTTTCCCCAAAGAGGCAACTCTCTCCTTGTTAGGGTCACGTGGAGACAAGGACATGCCCAAATGTCCTGGACTTGCAGAGCAGACAAGGATCACACATCCACAGTAGAACTGCCAGTGGGAAGTTCCACAGGCTCAGATAAAGCTCTTCAGTTTGGTTTTGGCAAAAGACCACTCTCTTTACCCTGACGTACAAGGTGGGAACTTCTGTCTTCTTAACCACCTTCTACCTACCCTGGGCATGCTTCTGATCCCAATCACACTGAGCTCATCCCTACCTCAGGACCTTTGCACTTGCTGTTTGCTCTACTCACATAGCCAGCTCCTTCCTGTCATTCAGCTCAAATGTCACCTCTTCAGAAAGGCCCATGCCAAGCACTCTATGTGACACTACATGCCCATCCCTCTAGGTCCCCCCTAATTGGTCTTTTTCATAGTACCAGTCACAGTCTGAAATCATCCTGTGTACTAACTGGTCCACACACCCACTAGACTCTCAGCTACATGGAATAGAGTCAGGCCAGTCATGGTCTTGGGCATTTCCAGCAGCTGCGCAACACCCAGCACACACTAGAGGCTAGATAATGTCTTTTGAATGACCAAGTGGGGAGAACCAGGAATCCTGGGCCCCCATGAGACCTTGGATAAGTCACATTCCCCTCCAGCCTCAAGCTCTGGCTCAGCCCCTTGCCAGAGACCCCAGGTAGGTGAGGGGCTGAACCATCCTTATCTGTGAGTGCAGGACTCTCATGCTCTGACTCAGTCCTGCCAGGTCCAGACCCTGGGCCCACGTATCACCAAACCCCGTTTCCTGCCGTGCAGCTCTACCGCTACCAAGCTTCCTCAACGCACTCACCTCCTAACTGATGGCCTCTATGTGTCAACTTCCTGCTGAGCCAAAACAAGAAATTCTCTGTGACTTGGGCCAGTTCGGAGAGCTTGAATAATCATCCAAGGTCACCCAGACCACTAGGGGTGAGGTCAATTGTACACATATTCCAGGAGCCCACACGCCGGTGCAGCATTAACTTTCCCTGCCCGCTCCCTCCCCGCCCTCCATTTTGCCTCATTTTCTCTGAAGGCTAATGGACTGGCAATGATTGGTATTAGCTGAATGGCTCTCCCAAGATCCGGTTCCAGTCCTGGGGGTCAGCTTTTGATGTACAACATCCCCCCCAACCCACCACATTGTCCCTCCTACTCCGAACTCCGGCCACAGTAAAATGTTTCTTTCTCTCAAGTATCAGGCTCTCTGTCACCCCAGACCTTTGCCATGGTTTGCCATGGCAGACCCTCCTAGGGCTGCATCTGACTCTTCTGGTCTCAGTCAAGAAGGTAGAGCCCCACCTCCATCCAATTATTAGGGGGAGGCCCCTTCCCTCAGCATTGTGCCCCCAGGCTCCTTCATGAGGCTGGGTCACATCAGGCTGCTTCTGTCGCTCTCTCTCCCCAGGATCTGTGAAGGTGGAATCTGCGAATCTTGCCCCACCCCTGGGTCCCCATCACCCAGGAGAGGGCCTGTCACATGATAGGAGCTCAATAAATATTCAATGAGTTAATGAAGTCATTTTCATCCTTCCAATTGTACAGATTAGACCACTGAGGCACAGAGAGGTTTAGCACCTTGCCCTGGTCACAGACACTCAGGCCCCAGAGCAGCTCTAGAGGAAAGGCCTACTTGGGTATGGTAGGATTGGACCAGGGTCAGAGGCCAGACTGGAGTTTCCTGGAGGAAGGAGAAGGAATGATCAGAGGCCATGTACGTACTGAGTTTCTTTGCTCCTGCTAATTTCCATGCTGCCATACCCTTAGTCTGACCCCTACTCCCATTTCACAGGTGAGAAAAATGACTCCCAGTATAGGGAAGAGCTGACTCAAGTTCAATGGTCGGCCTCAACACAGTGTCTTCTAGAGATGCTGGCCCCTCAATCCTCCCCCTTCTCCCACCTGCATCCCTTGTGCAGGAGCGAGGGGGACCACCCCAAAGGGAGACCAGTGGGCAGTAGGTAAGGAGGGCTGGGTGCTTGGGCAGGTCTTTCCACTTACCCAATAGCAAGCCCCTTAAAGTCTCTGGGCCTCAGTTTCCCCATCTGGACGACAAAGGCGCTTGGCTGGAGCCTTCAGCCTTCCCCCCTTCCCCAAAGCACGAGGCCAGGGCTGAGGGAGCTGGTGGGTAAGAATACAAGCTCCTGAGTCCAAAAGGCAGAGTCGAGTCCTGGTTCCAGCATTTATTGCTGAATGATCTTGCTCAGTCCCTTCACCCCCAGAGCCTCCATTTCATGGTCTGTAAAAGGAGAATAATAGCTTTTTTTTTTTTTAAGGGTTAAATGAGCTAACGTAGGAGAGTCCCTGGCACAAGGCCAACATGGCACCGCCGCCACATGAGGCTGTGTTGTCACGGTATTAGTTGGGGGTTGCTGCCCTCTAGAGGCCAAAGGCGGAACGGCAGGCGAGGGGAGCCCAACGCTGGTTCCCGGCATGCGCCCATTGTCCAGATGCGGAGCGCCGCGAGCGCCGGTCACTCGGTATGTGCCTCCACCCACTGGCAGAGGCGACGGGCGTAGCGAGCGGGGCTGACGGTAGAGAAGGTCCGGCCCGGGTAGCGCAGCGTCTTCCATAGGTGCTCCAGCCTCTTGCGGAGCCCATAGACCGTGGCGAGATCCACGAGGCCCAGGAAATAGCGTTGCTCCGGCCCATCCAGGATGTGCAAGGCGTTGGGGGAGTCAGGCAGCAGCCGGCGGTTCTGGGATCCCGGCTCCTCCGGGCTCTGTACCCCTCGCACAGACCTGGCGGCCGACAGGAGGGTGAGGCTACTGCCTCCTCCAGGGGGCCCCAGCCCAGGGATTCCCGCAAGCGCAGCCACAGGGCGCCCAGGCATCATTCTGCGCTGACCCAGCTCTTCCTCCGTTCATTCCCACAACTCCTGAGTGCCAGGCCTGTGACGTCAGATAAACTGGGAGGCTGAGTAAAGTGTAGACGATGGACTAGAGCTGTTCATTCCGTAGCCACTAGCCACATGCGGCCACGAAGCCTTTAAATGTGGCCAGTCCCAACTGAGGTGCGCTGTTAAGTGTGAAATACATGCTGAATTCCCAAGACAGGATGAGAAAAAGAGTGTAAAACACCTCATAAAGGTTTATGTTGATTTGATGACGAAATGATAAAAATTGGGGGTGTGTTGAATAACAAATGTATTTTTTAAATTATCTTTACCTGTTTCTGTTTACTTTTCTGAAGAGGCTAAATTTCTAAAGAAAATTTAAAACCAGATGTGTGACTCACATTACATTTCTTTCTTTTCAAAATGTGTTTGAGAGCGAGAACGCACAGAGGGAAAGGAGAAGCAGACTCCCCACTGAGCAGGGAGCCCGCCCCCGGCCCCCGCAGGGCTCCATCTCAGGATGCCAAGATCACTATCGCAGCAAAAGGCAGCCACCTAACCGACTAAGCCCCCCACCCCGCCCCTCGCATTGCATTTCTGTTGGGTGGTGGCGCTCTAGGACTTTTGGGTCACACAGACACTGGCTCCTCACTTACCTACCACATGACTTTGGCTAAGTCTGGTATTGGGGTGTTTCCTAAACTTCTGTTTGGGGTCGTCCAACCCTGGAAGTTTCAGGGCGGCAGAGCTGAAACTGTGCGAACAAGGTCCAGCCCCAGTTTATAGATGGTGTGGGGGGGGGTGGGGGGGGCGGTTTGCCTTCTAAATGTATCCTAAATTGGAAGCCGCCTTTGGCTGGGCCCCAGTCCCAGCCAGAAGCAGGTTCAATTCCCTAATTTTGTCCTCTGGGAGGTGGAGGGGCGTTGGGGAAGTGTCGCTGAGACAAATAAGCCGATGAGAGACAAGCCCTTCACAGACATCAACCAATCAGAACCCAGTGGTCTGGGTGCCTGGGCAAAACACGGATGCTCTTTGCCGTGCGGCGTTGGGGATGGGGGTGGGATGGGGGAGGCGAAAGCTTATCCTGAAAGAGGGGCTGGGAACTGGTAGGCGTGGGGCTGGGGCAGTGGCCACTTACCAGCCAGCATATTTCAATATGACGGCAGCCATTATAAGCGACCTGGGGTTTACTGGCTGAAAGACGACAGAAATCTAGGCATCAGCGGGGGATAGAGGGGGCAAGGGAGAAGCGGACCTAGCTTGGATAGTCAGACCTTGGGGGGCAGCGGGGAGGGGAGCGTGTCTGTGACCCAAGGCAGGAATTCCACCCTCTGGTCAGGATGTGTCCAGCCAATATGTGGTGAGCTGATAACCTGGATTCTGCCCACACCTCACCCATCTCCAAAGGGTGGGTTGGGGGGCTGGATGAGAGGATGTCACTTTTCACTTTTCCACCCACCAGATGGTTGGAATTCTTTCCTTAATGTGCCTTCCTTAACCCCTACTTTATTCTGTTCAGCCTTGGAGGACGGAAATCCAAGTAACTAACCAAATACTAACATGAATCCTCAGAAGCCATTCTGCCACTTCACTTACCCTCTCTGAGCCTCAGTTTTCACATCTCTAAAATGGGAATGAGCCCACCTTAATGAGGTTCATGGTCAGCATGCAAAGAGCAACAGATACTACTACAAAACAGGGGACAACACGATGGTGGCGCTAAGTGGAAAGACTGATTTAAAGGTCAAGGGCTTTGTTGGGTGCCTGGGTGACTCAGCCGGTTAAGCATCTGACTGCAGTTCAGGTCATGATCTCAGGGTCCTGAGACAGAGCCCCACACTCAGCAGTGGGTCTGTTTCTCCCCCTCCCCCAACCCCTCCCCCTGCTTGTGCTCTTTCTCTCTCAAATAAATAAATAAAACCTTTCATTTTATTAATAAAGGGCAAGGGCTCTTTCTAAAGTAGAAATTAATAGGTCTGAAAACTGCTGTGAAACCTTCAGTGGCTCCACATCCCCTTCAGGAAAATGGGCAGATTCTTTACACCAACACTGAAGCCCTTGTCCAGCTGGATTTCCCCGGCTCAGTCCTGTGCAGTCCACACATGCCCACCAACCTTGCCAACCAGGCTTCTCCAGCCCTCTACTCTTCCCTCTCCACACACACGCACTCACACACACGCATGCACTTTCCAGTCTTGGAGCCTTTGTGCTGTCCCCTCCCACCCCATCACCCATCTCTCTCCTGCTCTCATCACCTCATTCTTGCCCTCACCCCTGCAGGGGGGCCCACCTGACCGTGCGGAAGAGGAGGCTGCTGCCAGGGCCCCTCTCATCCTCGTGGAGACGCTGGAAGGCCATCAGGAGGCTGTAATCGAGCACGTTGAGCTCCCGGAGGAAGGCAGTGTCCAGTTCCATCTGGTGGAGGAGCCAGCTCCGCTGGGGCCCTGCCGGAGCATCAGTGCCCCCACCTGAGTGCTCCTCGTGTGTCAGGCAAGGTGCTGAGGGCTCCACACATCTCTGACCCAAGAGGGCAGGTGTCATTAACGGTCCCATTTCACAGATGAGGAAACCCCTCCGCGATTTGCCCTGGTTGCCTAGCTCATACAGCGTGGAGGCAGGATTTGAACCCTGCTCTTTCTGACTCTAGAATCCCAGCTCTAAATGGTTCAGGCAGAGGGCAGGGCCAGGGACACCCTTCTCACTTGACCCTGAATGGAGGAAAAGCAGGCACAGACTGTCTCCATGGCTCACCCAGGTCGATGGTCTTGCCTTGAAAGTTGAGGTCCTTCAGCACCAGGACAAGGGGGCTACCCTCGGGGGCTGGCTCCACCCATCGGCTCACTTCACAGCCCTTTATGTCATACCTGTGAGTGGGGGGTAACAGAAAGGGGGCAACAATTCAGCATTAGACAGACTGACAGAGGGGGAACCAAGAAACAAGAGCTTCTGCTGGGTGGATGTTTGAACCCTCATCACAAGCCATTCCATTATTGTCCCCGCGTCAGAGATGAAGAAAAATCTCAGAGAGCTTCTTTGACTTGCCCAAGACCACACAGTAAGTATAGGGCAGAGCTGGGATGTGAACTCGGGATTTTGGAAGCCCAGTCCAGGCTTTATCCCCGCCTGTGCCTGTCTCTCTGCACCTTGTCATCCCTGGAAGTGTCCCCAACAGGGGGTCCAAGCCTAGACTGCAGCCCCAGAAGGGCTTGTGGGAAGTCCTCGGTGGAAGCAGAGGGTTTGAATCTCGGCTCCTCACATAGTAGTGGTGTGGCCCTCCCCCTCCTCAGCTTCTCATCTACAAAACAGGGACGATAACCACCCCTGCCCCTCAGAGTTGTTCTGGGAATAAAGTAGGCAATGAATGCAGACTCCCCAAGTGCTGAAGGGACGCTGGTCATGCCTATCCCTGTCTCCGATCCCCTGGGAGATCTAGGGGATGTGCCTCCCATCTTCTCCCTGGGCCCCAGCTTCGCATCGGCTAGTGAGAATGGGTGCTTCAGGTGGCACACCCCGCGTGGGGCCGGGGCCCTGTGAGGGGACTCGCCTCTCGGAGATGCGGCCGGCGGGGTAGAAGACACTCAGCATGATGATGAAGAATTCCTGGGGATGGGGGTAGGGAGTGAGGGGCGACAGGATCTCACCCGCCAGCCGCCCCCTCTGGCCCAGCCCCCTCGCCTCGGCCTCACCCACCTTCTTTCCCCGAGCCACCCGCAGACTGTGCACTCCTGGAAGGGGAGAGGGCGCCAGGTGAGGGGCCCCCAACTCGACAACCCTTGGTCCATCCCGCCCTAGGCCCAACTCCAGGCCACGCCTCCTCCTCGAGGTCCCGCGTCTCCCGAGCCCTCCCCTCCAGGCCGCGCCCCCGGACCTCTGCCCTAGCTTGGGTGGATGTCCGGACTGGCCCCCGGCTCTAGGCAGCCCCAAAGAGGCGCGGTCCTCAGGCACGACCCCACCCCATATGCCCTCCCGCCGCCGGACTGGGCGATCCAACCCCGCCCCCTTCGGAAGGCCCCGCCCCAGGGCTCGGCCCGCGCCCACCGAGCCCGCCTTTCCTCTCCACCCGCGTCTAGGACACGCCCCCCATGGAACGCTGCCAGCAGCCGAACCCACGCGACCAGCCGCCGGACCCGCCCGCCCAGGCTCCGGCTCAGGTCCCCAACGTCCCCCATCCTGGGAGCCGCCCCACTCCTTGGCCCCCTCCCCAGCTCGCTCTCGGTCTTCTGCGCTCCCCCGCCCCACACACTTCCTCCGCCCCGCAGTCCCCAGTCCCCGGCCAGTCGTACCCAGCAACCGGGCAAGGAGCGAGTGTGGGTGCCTCTGCAGATGCTGCACGTAGCGGGGCAGGTGGGCGAGCAGCGCCCGCACCTCCCGACGCCGCTGGGTCTTCAAGAAGAAGCGCTGGTCGTGGCTGGGGAGTGGAGAAAGAGGTCACTGGTCAGGCAGGGCTGGAGCGGCTCCGTTGGGCCCTCTGCCCGAGTGCGGATCTATCTCCCCCGGTCTGGGCTGGAGGCTTTCCCGCCGGCCCTCACCTCGCCTGGGTCACCTCCCGCCCTCACTCTCCTCCACCTGACCTCTATCTGGGCCTGACCGTCCCTGACCTGGCCATTCCGTTTCTTTTCCACCCATTCCCGTTCCCTCCACCCAGGGACACCACTCCCACCCCTTCCCCACCCCTGCTGCCAGCTCACGACAGGAAGAAGCTGGCCTTGCTCTTGGAGGTGCTGAGGAACTGCAGGTAGGGGCATCCGGGGCCTAGGGCTGCCTGATAGTCCTCCTCAGCCAGGCCTAGGGATTGGCGCAGCCAGGCGAAGGCGGGGCCAGCCAGGGTTCCCATCTCGAAGCCCTGTAGGAGAGGAAGAGCAGCCCCAGCAGTGTCCACGGGGGCCCAGGTGTGTGCTGTAGGCCCTGGTGTGGGAGGATCAGGGTAACCACACTCTTCCTGCAAAGACCTGAGGCAAGCCAGCCCACCCATGCACGGATGGGGAAACTGAGGACGACAGAGAAGGAAGACCAGTACACACCCCTCCTCATGCGGCAGTCTTGGGCTTCCTACCTCGTGGACCTGGGTCAGGACCTCGGAGAAATCCTCCTCAGTAGGCGGTCCCTACAGGGAGGGGTGGAGGGGCTCAGGTCAAGTCTTAGCCCCACACTGCCAGCTCCAGGATCTCCAGGAGTCCTAGCCCTGGCCTCACCCCCTTCCCTCAATGTGATTGCTCCAGCAAACAGAGACCAGAACTCAGAGCTTTGTCCATTCACCCAGAAGTACCTGTTGGCCAAGCAAAGCCATCCCGGTGAAAGGGGATGGATGGCCTTAAAGCCAAGGGACCTGCCTGATTCAGTGTGAGAAGGGCAGGATCAGAGAAGGCTTCCCGGGAGAGGTGACCTCTAAGCTGAAATCTGAAAGGGAGTGGAGAGGAGGAGCATGATGTTCACAGCAGGGGGAACAGCATTGGTGGTCACCGGAAGGGCAGGAGAGCTCAAGTGGTTGAAATAATTAAGGGAGGGAGGGAGTGTGAATGCAGCTGGATGGTTGGCTCTTGGACTCGAGCCAGCAGGATCCTGAGGCCGTGCTGAGTACTGGGGAGCCATGGAAGATTGTCAGTCAGGTGATGAAATTTGGAAGACTGTCCCCCTTCCTCCCCCCGCCCAGGCTCCTACACTCTTCTTGGACCTCTAGTTCCCTGTGCCAGGACTTGGCCTGTGGGATGCGGTCATGCTGTACACACGTGTGCACACACACAAAAACACACATGCTCGCCCTGGCCTGTCCAGCTGCTGAGTCTGCAGTTGGGTCACCCTTTCTGCTGAGCCAGCCTGGCCCCAGCCCTGAGCTCCGGGAGGATGGGCCAGGCTGGCGGGATGGGGGTGGGGTCCTTTCTCAGCCATGCACCCTAGCAAAGCCAGGAGGGCATCAGAGACCATGGAGTACAATACCCACCCCACACCCATTATACAGATGGGGGCACTGAGGCCCAAGAAGCAGAGGACCATCTAGAGTCACACAACAACCACCTGGGTCAAGGGGTTCCTCACATCCCCAGTACAGACTGCACTTTGGGGCCTCCTGGTCTCAGCCCCCACCCCAGCATGTCCCTCTCCCCCTGAACTGAGCCCCTGATTTCCTCCTCGTATAGCCCTGATCCCCGACCCTGCAGTATGGGCCAGACCTGGCCCCCGAGTGGTCTTGCCCTCAGTACCGGGGAGGCGGGGGACACAGATGGGCCACTCACGGTGGGCGGGTGGCCCATGGAGACCTGGGTGGCAGCCCACAGCCCTGCTTGTATCATGCGCGTCAGCTGGTGCAGCTCATGCCCCGGGCCGATCTCAAACAGGCCTCGGCGAGCCTGCTTGTCTCGGAGGCGCCAGAGGAGGCCACGGCGGCCAGACGTCGAGGTGGCTGCTCTGCATCCAGCCTCTGGGGAGGGGGCCAGGACCTGGTGGCAGGAGGCACAAGGAGAAATGAGCACATGGAAGCATCCCAGAGGGGAAAGACCCAGGTTTGAGTCCCACCCCCAGTACCTGTGAGCCCTCCTATTATCGCTCTCTGCCTCAGTTTCCTCTGTTGTCAAACAGGGATAACGCTGCTACCCCCACTCACTGGGTGTTGTGATGGGCCACACAGTGCCTGGCGTGCAATCAGCACCCAGGAGATAATTATTATCAGTAGGTAGAGAATGCTTTCCGCAGCCAAACCTGTCTCTCACCGGCTGTATGATCTTAGGTAAGTCACCTAACCTTTCTGCATCTCCTTTTCTCATCTGTAAAATGACAACTCTAGTAACTCCTTCGTGGTGGCAGTTTGATATTTGCTCCAGGCACAGGAACCCTTGATAGTAGGAGCTGTGACGCCAGGGACTCGGACATTTCTTCCACTCATCTATGCGGAGTTCCTCCTGGCTGAGCGGAGGGTCAGCACGAAGCTGAGCTCACAGCCGCTGACCCATTAGTAGTGAGCACCCACCATGTGCCCAGCACTGGCCGAGAGCTTGACTAGCTAACAGCCCTACGAAGGAGGAGCTTTTTCCCCCGCGATGAGAAAACCGAGGAAGTTCTCTGGGGACACCCGCCAGACTTCCTCCTCCATACCTGCGGCCCCGTGTGGGGCGTGTCCTGGTCCCCGCCCAGTGCTGGACCCCTCCAGGGCTTGGATGGGGGTGTGTCCGCGCTGCACGGGGAACGGAGGCCTGGGTCCTGTCCCCCAACCCTTCCCTCTTCTGTCCTCTCTCGGGTCCGCACCTACCTCGTGGGGCCCCGGGCTCGGTGCGGCCATCGCCCCGCAGCAGCTTCCCGGGCTCCGGCCGCGTCCCGGTCGCCGCGCTGCAGGAGCCAGTCCCCGCCCCTGCTTCCGGACCGACCAATAGCGCGGTGCCGGTCACGGCTGCATCCAATCCGCGCGGGAGGCGCCGGCAATCGCCTGCGGGTCCCGCCCCCGGGGCTGCAGCATCCTTCAGACCTCGGTCCAGGCCGGGGTGGGGCCGCCGCGCGTCGCTTAGGGTCCCCCCAGAGGGATGACCCGTCTGGTCCGTCTCCTCTAGTGGAGGGCTCGGGTCTCCGGGACGCTTGGGGAGGCGGGAAACCTAAATCCAAGTCCCGCCCACCCACTCTGGCGTGAAATTCCCACCGACTGTCCCTCGGGTGAGGAAACTAAGGTCCAGAGAGAGAAGTGAGTACCTCCAGGTCACACAGGAAGTCTGGGGCATGCATTCATTCAAGGCCTATTTTGATCACTCACTATGGGCAGGAGCAGCTCTAGGCCCCGGGGATTCAGCGGTGAGTGAGAGGGAGGAACACAGCTGCCAGCGTGATCTTTTAAAAGCATAAATCAGATGATGTCACTCTCATGCTTAAAGCCTCCAGTGGCTTCCCTAGGCCCTGGAACAAAATCCATACCCCTCACTATGGCCCCAGGCCCATCTCAAACCACTCTGCCTATACCCACCATACAGCCACAAGGAGCTCCCCTGCTGGTCCTTAGGCATAAAATTCTTTCACACCTGGGGCTTTTACAGGCGCTCTTCCCTTTGCTTGAAAGCCTTTCCCCTAGGCTCTCCTTTGACCTATTCTTTCTTGTCACCTTGCCAGACTCAGTGTCCCCTCGTTCTTTTATTTAAAGATTTTATTTGACAGAGAGAGAGAGAGAGAGAGAGAGAGAGAGAGAGAGAGAGCGTGCGCACAAATGGAGGGGGTGGGTAGTGGTGGAGGGAGAGAAACAGCCTTCCCGCTGAGCAGGGAGCCTGCTCAGGGGCTCCATCCCAGGGTCCTGGGATCATGACCTGAGCAGAAGGCAGGTGCTTAACTGAGTCACCCAGACGTCCCAATGTACCTGCATTCCTGATCACATCACCTTGTTTTCTTCATCACACTTAACGCTGTCAGAAATCCTCTTGTTCATTTATTTATTACATTTCCCCCCATCCTAGGGAGCACCAGGAGTGCAGGAACCGTGCTGGGCTCCTTTCTTGGCTCAGTGTTTGGCACAAACTGGTGTTTCGTATGTATATATACACAGAACCAAGTTGAGTAGGGTGTGCAAAGGGCCCCAGAGAATCCCAGGAAATGAAAGGTCGAGCTGGAGTGAGACGTGAAGCATTCAGGTTCTCTTATGTGTATGAGAAAGATGCTCCGATGTCCTTAAAAGGCCATTACCCAGGGGAGAAGGCCACATTGGGGGGGTGGGGGGTGTCGAGGAATCTTTTAGTGACTTAGGGCAGAGGATGGTGCCTTTGCATCAGTAAGGTGACTGGTGGGAGGAGGGGAGAAAAGGGGAGAATTGACAGGACCTGGGATCACGTGGATGGGGGCTAGGAGGAGGAAGCCAAGGTCAGTGATGTGTGCCAGGCTTCTGGCTGGGGTTAGGGCCACAGGATGGTGCCAGTCATGGAAGGGGGTATGAGGGGAAGCTGGGGAGGGGGAGTCTGAGGATTCAGATCATGACAGGAGGAACTTGAGGTGCCATTATGACACCCGATGGCAGTTAACTGGTGCACGGGCAATACGTTGGGGCTCAGGAGGCGAGCCTGGTTAAGACAAGTGTGGGGAGAGAAGGCTTGTGATCAAGTCCCAAGGAGCCCCACCCCCCATATGAGAATGAGACCTCACGGACATGGAGAGCATCTGAGGTGCACCAGGGGGATGGGTGGTCCGGGTGGGTACAGCCCCTCAGGAGTGATGCTAAACACAGCGATGGCGAGGAGCTGCGGGCAGCGGGTGTGAATACTTCTGGGAATTTGGCCATTTGGGGGCAAGGGGGAGAGACCTAGAGGGAATTACTGGGTTGATGGAGGGTCCTTTATGTGGGGGCCTGGGGCATGCTCAGGAAACACAAGGAGGGGGCTGGTGAGACGCAGAGGCTGCCTCTGTGAGAGTGGGGGACCATCAGAGACAGGATACTCCTGCTATAGGAGGGGGAGAGGACAGAATCCAAAGCCCAGGCGGCAGCTCAGTCTGGCCTGCAGGACAGGAAGAGGATGGGACAAGTGAGGGCAGGGCAGGTGTGAGGGAGATGTCTCTGCTAACCAGAGTGAACATCACACAAGGCGTGACAGAGGCTTAAACTGGGTGCTGCGGACGGGAGGCCTGGCTGCATGGGGCGGGGGGCATGGCGGGACTGCTGGGGAGACAGGGCTGGGCCTGCACCAGATCAGTCAGCCTGAGCAGAGAGCCTGCCCTGCTCTGCCTCCCCCAGCTCACTGCTCAGAGCCATGCCAGGTTGGACCGCTGGGTGCAAGAGACAGACAATGGACTTGGGCTTTCGGGGGACTGGCCCAAGGGTCCCTAAAATACGCTGCATGCTAGCTGGGCTGGCGCAGGGCAGGCACAGTAGAGGCTGTTGGGGTGTGTGGCATGTTGCCATGCCTCTGCCAGAGCCGCATCTGTTTCGGTCCCCACTTTATCCTGGGTCCAGCACGGGGACAATCTGGGAGGCACCTGAGGCACCCGCACGGCACGAACCAGAGTCTCCTGACCTGAGACCAGCCCCTCTCGGGCCCCGAGCAGCCCAGCTCCCCGGGCAGGGATGGCACAGAGACAAACACATCACCAGTGTTTATTGCTCAGCTCTCCCCAGCTGGCCGGCACTAGGGCTGGGGGGCTAGGCCTCTATGAGAAGCAGTTGGTCTGGGGGCCCACTGTGGCCACCCTAATGGAGCCTGAGGGCTGGTGGTAACCCCAGAGCCTGTCAGTCCTCCCCTTATACATTCTAGGTCCAAAAGTCCTTGCAGGGCCTGGGGCTATGTCAGACCTGGGAAAGCCACCCCCGAGGAGGAGCGGGACCTGTGGGGAAAGGTCACGTGCTACCTCAGAACGTACCAAGTCCAACATCAGCAGGTAACAGGAGGGAAACTGAAACAAGAGGGTAGAACCCCAGGGAGAAGGCCACAGGGAGTGTGAAGGTGAAGTTCGGATGACCAGCATCTTTCAGGCCCTGAGCCAGAAAGGGTAAGGGGGAGGCTTCCAGGTAATCCTCCCTCCTGGCTTCTGGAAGGCTGGGCTGGGAAGGAGCAGGCCTGTGTGGTAGGTCCAGAACAGCTCCGCCCCATAGGGGCCAGGCTGGAGGGGGCTGCTGTGCCTGCATGGGTCCTATGCACTCCCACCTCTGGAGGGGAGGCACAAGAAGGGCCGGCAGCCTCAGCCCCGCTGGGCCTTCACTGAGCCTTTTTGGTCACCTTCTGGTTCTTCAGCATCACGTAGGTGATGAACATTCCTGGAATACACAGACCAGAAAGGCCAAGTAAGATCCGGGCTTGGGGCTGCTGGGAGGCCAGACGGGGCAGGTGCACACGGAGCCAAGCACCTGCCCAACCACCCTCCAAGGCCACGATCACCTCCCTGGTCAGTCAGCAAGTCACACACCCACCCCCATGTATTCAACAAACACCAACATGGGGCCCACACAGGCAAACGGCTACACTTACTGTTTTAGACGCGACAGGGCACAAGACCCACTCAATTACCCATCTACCTGTCCACCTGTCCACCCTCCCACCTGCCTACTATCCACCTATCCACCACCTATCCACCACCACCTATCCACCACCCACCCCACACCCTGGTCATCCAAATGACTCATCCAAACCACTTTCTTGGGCACCAACTCAGTGCCACAGCCTGGCCAGGAGCTGAGAACATAATAATGACGAAGACAGTCCCCGCCCCACAGAAGCCCACACATAAATGCTGGGAGAGAGAGAGAGGGGCAGGAATCACGAGCCAGTGATGACAAGGGGGTGAAAGGTGACTGAGGCATGCGCAGAGTGATGATGGTAGTGGTGGAGGGAGCAGGGAAAAGGGAGACACCCCATGAGGGCCATCCCATTTAAAACTAATGAGCCTGAGGCATGGGGAAGACCAGAAGGGCTACTGACTGGCAGCCTGGAAGGATGAACAGGAAAACCCTGGGGGATAAGCTGGGAGCCAGGGGTCTCAAGCAGGTGTACTGCAAGTGCTGCGGTGTGGAAGCATGTTCAGGGATGGGAGAGGGCTGAGGGAATTCCCTGATACCCTGCTGGGGTGGAGGGAGAGATGACTTACCCACAAACAGGAGCAGCAGGAGGCCGACAGCCAGGGGGATGGTGACAGCATAGGCTCGGGGCAGGAAGTACTTGTGGATGACATGCTGACTATCGATGAATGGCTGGTGTGGAGGACAGAGCTCTGGTGAGTGTTCCCCATGCCTGGCCCAGCCCCTCAAGGCCAAACACGGCCCTTCCTCCATCTCAGGTGCTAACCTCCCCCCCACCCCCCCACCCCCGTCAAAGCACTGGGACAGCGCCTGGTTTAAGATGATGGTATCTAGGGTGCCTGGGTGGCTCAGTTGGTTAAGATGATGGTATCTGGGGTGTTCTGGTTGGTTTCTTTCATTCACTCACTGAATAGTTGTTCTCTGTACACTTGCTGGTTACTGCCCTAAGGTGGTGCGGGGGACCTGGCAATGAACAGAAGACGAGGGCCTTGCCCTAAGGCACTCACAGCCCTACAGGGGCAAAGGTGCAGGAGAAATCTTCAAGTAGGCTCCAAGGTCTTCTTTACTAACATTTCCTCCAAAGTTCTGCAAGTTTTTGCCCTCCAAACACACTGCACTTCTTAAGCAGTCACCAACAAAGTTTCCCACAAGGAAAAAAAAAATCCTAAAAGCCCTCACAAGATCTCCGGGCACTCATCACGCCCAGGAGCCAGCAGGATAACCCAGAAGGCCCGGAACTCCAAGCACAGGCAAAAGCGAATCAGTAACAGGACTTCACGGTGTAGCATGAAGGACCCGACCCTTCTTCCTGAGCTTTAGCTTCCTCATGTATAAGCTGGGACACCTCTGCCATCGTCCTCGTAGTGCTGTTCTGGGGATTTCTGGAGATGAGGGCAGGGAAAGCACCTGGCACAGTGTCTGGTACATAGCAGCTGCTTAAATGATGCTGGGGTCGAAAGTCAGACACAGGGGGCTGGGGCGGGGGAGCGGGCGCACATACCAAGAGAATCACCCAGGCCGTGTAGTAGGTGAAGATGATCAGGCTAACGACGACGAGGCCGAGTCCCACCACCTGGTCTGTTCCCGTGGCCTGGAGGAAAGGAGAGCTCAACGGACGAAGGATCTCCCCATTCGGGTGCACTACTGGCGGGTGGCGTCGCAGCCTGATTCCGCTCTTAGCTTCCCATTCACTCAACAGATGGAGACAGGCCTGGCCGGGTATCACTTTCTAGGCTCGGGGAGTGCGGGCCACGGCGTTTTCATTCGTACGGTGCGCCCGCGAGACAGCAATCCGGGCTCCCAGTAGCCTAAGCCCGGACTCCCGGGAAGACCCCCTCCCAGACTGCCCCCCTCCCGTCCCCCAAGCACTCGGCCCAGAGCTCACCATCTCTCCCGCGTTCCCACTCCCGAGCCGCAAGCCACAGCCAGATCCGGATCCGGGCCCTTCAAGCCCTGGGCCGCAGGGCACGCCGGGAGTCGTAGTCTTTAGGCGGGCCGGGATTACGTGTCCCTAGACAGGCGGGTGCCGCCTCCCGCTTCGCATGCCGGGAAATGTAGTTTCCAAGGGTATCTTGGGTCGCGCTGTTCCCCGACTCTCCCTAGGGAATGGAATCGAATGGGGACCCAGATTGTCTGGCAATCTGAATTGTCAGTCCTGCCGGACTCGCCCCAGAAGCAAAAGTCCATCTCCAAATATCCCAGGAGGCAGAGCCAGATGGCGTGGGAGGTTAGAGGTCCCAGGTTTCAGATGGGGAAAATGAGGCTCCGAGAGGTGACGACTTGCAGATCACAATTCGAGTCAGTGGTGAAGCCGAGATCGGAACCTGGGGACCATACTTTCTAATACCGAGGCCCTAACTTGTCTGTCGAGAGGGATGCAGAGTGTTTGTCGCCCCACCTGGGGTGGGGATGGGGGCGTGGGCCCAGATCCTCAGGGTTTGGAGGACTCCCACTGGCTGTGAGGGGAGCTCCCCTCACCATCGCCTGGCTTCCTAGGGAACCCTTCCAGTGTCTTCTCTTCACTGCAGGGATGAGGTCAGTGTAAACCGCCCCCCCCTTCCTTCACCATCTGCCTTTTGAGCCCTGGGTGTCGCTGCAGCTCAGCGAGCAGCACAGACAGATCATTGGAAGGGCCCCCCATGCAGGTCACCTCCCCAGTCTGGAACAGTCTTCCCACAGCTTGCGGGGCTGGATGCTCTTCACCCATCAGGTCTCACTGGGATGCCACACATCCTAAGGAAGGCCTCTCACAGCTGGGCAGAGGTTCCCTCCTCTATCCTCCACAGCCCCCAGAGTGTCTCTGTGATAACGCTTGTCATCATCTTAGCTCATTTCCTTGTTGATCTGGCCTGTGAGGTCCATGGGTATAGGGTCTGCGGTCACAGCTGTATCCCTAGTTCCCACATGGGGAGTGCAGGAAGGGCAGACACACTTGCAGAGATGCGTTAGAACCAGGAATGGTTTGCTCCTGAGGGCAGCATGTCTCCGAGTCACCTGAACCCGTCTCTACAGGGACTGCACTCCTCAAAGCTAATAGTAACAATTCTTCTTGGCCTACCGCTTAATGCCATCCCTCTCATCTCACGACAGACTTTGGGCTCAGCTAGGAGCCAACTTTCCCCTCCCCAGGTGTGCTGTGCAGAACAGAGGAAGAGACTCAAAATCAGCCTCCAGAGTTTAAAGGGGCCATGAGTGGGTGCCCGCCCTGAGGAGGGGTGCAGACAATGCCGCGCCGCAGCAGGGAGGAGCCCTGGAGGTCTGGTCTCTTCTGGCCTGTCCACAGCCGCTGAAGCTTCCTGCCACTTCTGAGCTAATTAAAGGCCAGGCTGACTCTGCCTTTCTGAGCTTGGCAAAGTCGTTGGCTCCCCTGTAACTTGAGAGTGTTGGGGGCCGGAAGGGAGAGGCTTAGACCTGGGGACGGTGGCGGCCTGGGACTTGAATAGAAGTTGGGAGCAAACTCAGTGCGCCCTGTGCCGGGCCGTACACCCACTTTCTTCTTTCAACCACAGGCCCATTTACAGCTGAGGAAACTGAGGCCGAGACAGTTACTCATCTCAGGCTGACTGCTGGAAAGTTTCGGTGCTTAGAACTTGTGCTCTGAGACCAAAGCTGCTACGTAAGTAGGTGCGAGGGTGGCAAGAAATTGCCCTTCTGGGTCTCAGTTTCCTCCCTGGAAACCTGCAGTAATAAAGGTGGTAATGATTGTGACGGAAGCCAGGACAGGGAAGACCCTGGCCACCTATACCCTTCCCCATTCCTGGATGTCAACCTACGCATCCGGCTTTCTTCCGATGCTGACCATGCGGTAAGACAAACAAAACCCAACACGCCGTAACAAACAAAAACTGCAACATTTAATTTTTTCTCCTGAATCAAGACATTGACACGAGGCTGATTTCCCCCTTACAATGTGATTTTCTACAACAGAAGCCGGGACAGAGATACAAACACAGCCCTCTGAATAAGGGGTAGTGGTGGCGGCAACATTCTGTTAGAAAGGAGGGGAATTTTTTTTTTTTTAAGACCAAAAACAACAAAAAAAACAAAAACCAAAACCAAGACCCCACCTCACCCCCCTACCCCCACCCATTTCCCAGCTCAAGAGAGAGGAGAACATGGCGGATCTCCATCCCGGCAGATCATACCATGTGGTCCATTTGGGGGGACCAGAAAAAAAGTAACCTAAAAATATTGTAGACTTTAATTTTCTTTAAATCTCCTAGTAAAAACGTTAAACTGTCTTTCAAGAAGATTCCAAACTGGCATTGCATAGACTGATTCCTTTCCAAAAATACCTCTAATATAGTCTATCTTTCTCTATATATAGAATTTTAAGTCCAGGAGCTATGTGGGCCTGGCGGGGATTCACTGAGCTTGAAGGGACCCAGAGGTCAAAGAAAGGGCTCCCACATGGGGATGAGGCTGGGGTTCCAGGCCTCTGGCTCCAGCTAGTGTTAATTTGGATGTGGTCAAATTCTCAGTCCAGTTACCCTGGCCCACGGCCTGGCAGGGGAGGCTGTGGCAGGCTCTTTGTCCTTCTGGGGTGAACTGTCAAGCCCAGACCACACCTTGGGTGGGGTTGGGGTTCCTGGTTTGGGGGACTCCCCAACAGCACCAGAGTTAACTGCTTTATGTCTGAAGTCCAGAACTTTGAGCCAGATCCCAAATACACCCTGAATGCTCTTCCCCACTGGGCTGAAGTCATGCAGACACAGAAGCGGAGGAGAGTGCTCTCCCATCTTCTGGGGGTCACTTCATCTGGAAACAGCAAGGCCAGCTCCCTTTTAAAGTGCCAGACGCCTGCGAGGCAGGAAGGGACCTGCAGGGCTAAGCAGAGCCTTCTCCAGCCACAGCAAATGCTCTGTCCTGTCTCAGCAGGCAGCTCCGCACATTCATTTTCTAAGAGTTAGGGGATTAAAAACAACAACAAAGAATCCTAGAAATGCTCTGCTCCCAAGGCCAGGAGGTTCCAAGACAGCAGCTCCAACTCTTGCCAGCTGGAGCATAAGGGCAAGGAGCCCTCCCAGCCTGGGGAGGACACCCCACTGGCACCCACACCCCTTCCAGGGAGAGAGCCAGGATTCTGGCCCCCCATCCAGGTCCCCAGCCCTGCTGGGACCCAGCCAGCAGGTATGGAAGGGAACAGAACCACCTCCCCTCACCTGGGGGAGAAGAAAATACCAAACTGTGAAATTAAAAAAAAAAAATTAAAAAGGAAAAGAAGGGGAAATTTAAAAAAAAGAAAAACGATACAGGACTAGGTAAACACCAGCCTGCTGGGTTCACACAAAATGAGTGAGATTTCAGAGCGGCAGGGAAGTCTGTCCAGGGACTGATGGGCGGTCAGAACCCACCTTCAAGCAAGTAAGGAAGACCAGAGGGGGCGGGCGACGCGGCAGAAGCTTTAGCGAGGGGCAGGGGCAGGGCCAGACTGCTCCCCGCCTCTCCCCAGCCCAGAGAGAGGGATGCTTCCAGAGGAGGGCTGAGGCTTTTCCGGCCAGGAAGCCAGCTCCAGGCTGGTCCAGTCCCAGCCCGCCTGCCTCTCCAGCATCAGCCCCAGCCTGGGCTAGCTGACCCTGCAGGGACAGAGAAGGGGCTTTGCTTGCCAAGCCCAGCCCAGCCTGACTGCCAACCTCCAAGGATTTGGGAGGCACCTTCCCTGGCTTCCTAGGAAACCAGCTGCTCAAGATCCAGCCCCAAGCAGAAAAGAGCCACCATCAATGCTCAGCATGGGTGTCAAGCCCGAGCTGGAGCTAACCGGGGGAGAGGCAGTGCCACGTTCCAGCCGGGCTGCTAGAGGCAGGCGCTGACCGCACAGCAGGCAGTGCCCAGAAACCCTTATGAAGGGCTCAAGGGAAAGGCAGACAAGGGCCGGTGGGGCTGTGCTGGAGGCAAGCATGTGCAAAGTGCAGGCTGCCAGGGCAGCAGGAGAACATTCTTTGGGGGCGGGGGTCTCAATCTGGAGTGTGGACGGGTCTGAGGTCTTGGTTCCCAGGAGAAGGCCGCCAGCAGGTCCCCAGGGACACGGGGAAGGAAGAGCTGAAGCACTAAGCAGTCAGAGGGCCGTGGTGGCGGGATTCAGGGATGGACTGGCCCTCCCAAGGGCGAGGGGGCAGTGGAGCAAGGCCCTGCTGGGGCATGCTAAGCCAATGCTCCCGGAGTAAGCAGGGACACAGGGCAAGAGGCCCCTCGGCCACAAGCATCCCTGCATGTAGGTGCTGTTGCATGTCCTCGACGAGGGGCCAGACTGGTCTCCAGAGGGGCAGGCCTGGCCGTCTTTGTCTGGTCCACCTGCTTCACGGACCTGCACGTCCTGCCCCCTAGTGGTTCAGAGGAGAATATTCACAGTGGTGCCCGGGCCTGGCAGGCCAGGAGGGTCCCGGGATGGATGGGAGGACAATGGAATGATGCTTTGGGGCAGGAGCGGGGCTGGAGTGCATGGAGGAGGCACAGATGAGATGCGGTGCGGATGACGATCCGAAGGGGAAGGTCCCTCGTGGAATGATGCGGGCTTGGATGCCCACAGAGGAAGGGCCCTTCTCCAGCATGGACACCCGCTCCTCAATGGCTTTCAATCACAACAGGCTCATAGACCCCAGAGGAGACCCTGTGGGGGAGGGGAGGAGAAAACCAGGTCAGCTTGTCCTCCCTGTTGCTCTTCTGGGACAGGCCCTGGGAACGACTTCACAAGTCGGCCCTGCTTCACAGAGGGGTAAACTGAGGCTCAGAGAAGTCGAGTCACTTGCCCAGGGCAACACAGATGCTAAGTACTAAAGCCTGTGGGATCTCAGAGCTGATGCAAGCTGTGCCTGAGCCCGTTCTGAGCACCAATGGCTGCTCACACAGAGATGGGTGCTGTACCCATTCTCATGGCAACCCTGGCAGGCAAAGACTGAACCCTGCCCCGTTTGACAGATGAAGAAACTGAGGCAACAGAGGGATGATGAAGCTCACCAAGAGGACAGAAGGTTGGGGAGCTCTTCCTTCTGCTGAAGCCAGACCCACCCACAGGGTCATGGACATTCAGGGATCAGTGTGCAGCTCTGCTAAGACCTTGCTCCTGATGAAACTGGTTTCTCCCATCCCCTGAATCCGTTTCCTCACTGTCATAGGGGGCTGGGGTGGGGGGTGTAAACCTCAAAGGAGGTGTCCTCTGTTTTCCTCTTGCCCACCTCCCGGGGGACTGCCCAGGAAGTCACAGGGAGAGGGTGGCTGCAATTTTGAGCCTTGGCCAGCAGGTGTCAGCATAGCAGCACCAGAGGGGAGGTTGGGACCCTGTGCCCCAGACCCACCCAGCCAAGTCTCCATACCACCACCACCCCAGGCCCCCACGCTCCCAGCATTAGATGTTAAATGAGCACTTTCCTGGCCGCTCTAGGGGAACAGGGGGTTACAGCTTCGGCACAGCTCCTCTACTCACTCACTCAGTGAGGCAGTGGACTCGCCACAGACTCGAGCGGAAGCAGCAGATTCAGCCGCCACACCCTCATATGTAAATATCACGCAGGCATGAATCTCGGTTGCTCACTGCTGTATCCCCAGCACACCTAGCTCGGTGCTTGGTGTGTGGCTGGTGCTCAACAAATATTTATTCAGTAAATTAAATGAGTTGTTGTCGTCATCGTGTTTAGGAGTTCCCAGATCCGGAAGGAAGGGAAAAGCAGGTCCCAAATAAAGACAGATAAAGCCCGGGCGGTGTACCAGGCCCTGTGCTAGGCCCTTTCCAAGCTACCCTTGGAACCCTGAGAACCAAACCCAGGCTGCTGCCCCAGGTTTCTAGAGGAGACGGTGTGGTCTGTGACATTTGACAAGCAGGGAAACTGAGGTTCAGAGAAGAGTGAGCGCTCCCAGGTGATGCTGTGTTGGGAGGAACCGCTATTCAAAGCCAGGTCAGCGTCCACCATGCCTGGGCTCTCAGCACCGAGCCCCATGGCCACCCTAGGGACCCATCCCCAAACGGCGCCCCCTACCTGTTGGCCAGCTGGATGCCACTCAGCGTGGTGGAGCCGTCGCGGCTCACGAACAGCCGGAGATTGCTGTCTGTGGGGACACAGGGGAGGACGGAGGCTGAGTGGGACAGGGGCATCTGGGGCGGCCCTGGAGCGGGCGGCACCGTCCCCCAGGCCTCCCTGCGTGGGCAGCTTACCCTCAGTGTTGCTGCCGTCTGTGAAGTCCTGGCTTTGCATGATCTTCTCCACAATGTCATCTGCGTCAATCCGAGTGTCATCTACCCAGGTCGGGTGGCTCTCCACAGAGTCCTTCTTCCTCCTGGGGTGGGGCAGAGCAGAGTCACAGCAGTCCAGCTGGCGACAGGTACAAGGACGACCATGGTAAGCCCGTACAGAGCTCAGGCTGCTCTGCGTGTACGTGAGAACCTATTCCCAGTCGTGCTCTTGGAACCCTCTCCTCAGCCCCCAGGCCAAGGGCCCACAACCTGGTTTTGTGGATGAGGACTTGGGAGGCCCTGACAGGTTAGCTGACCTGAGCCTCTGAGAGGCCGTGCCACGGGTAAACGGGGGACCTAGATCACGAAGCCTCCCCCGACAGCGCGTCTGTCAGGCCCATGCTGTGACCTTCGCATCCGTCCACCAGCTGAATCATCGCCATCCAACCCTCTGAGGCGGGACCCTGTTGTCCCCGTGCTACAGGGAAGAAGCAAAGGTTCCGGGGGTGCCCAGGAGGGGCCCGTTCTCCAGGAGCACCGGGCAGCACTGCTCACCGGAATGAGCGATCGGACAGATGGGGCCGTGGCGGCCGCGGGGGCTTCTCGGGGAGCCGGTGCTCGCGCTCACTGCCCTCAGGGCCTTCCACGGTCATGCCAAGGCCGCCGGAGGTGCTGCTGCTGGTGGACGTGTTGCGGCGGTGCGTCAGGTCCGAGAGGCTGGAGGAGCGCGAGTGTTCTGTGCTGTAGCCTGGCGGGCACGTGGGGAGGCCCGTTAGTGGGGGGCCAGCAAGGCGTGTGGAAGGTCGGGGGTACGGGGCCAGGCGGGCACTCACCAGAGATTTTGGACTGCTGGCTGGCATAGCTGGAGTTGCGGGAGTGGCCGGAGTGGAACACCTCCTCCGGGCTGGACAGGTTCTGCTCGGGCTCCTCTGGCACCCCTGGAGAGCGGGGAGAGGGCGAGCTCAGCAGTGGGGCCAGCCCTGGCGGTCCACACATGGCCTCTCACGGAGTCGGCGGCGGGCAGAGGGGGGCACGCTAGGTGCTTCCCATTTTACAGACAAACACAGAGGCCCTGCTCCCACCATAGTCCACCCCTGGAGCCCAGGTCTGTTCATTCCACAAATATCTGTGAGGACGTCCTCTGCACAGTGTGCTGTAAATAGGAGATGGGGTGTCACAGGCCAGCGGGAAGGGAGAGTGTTGAATGAAAAATGACCCACAATTAACCATGCCTGAAATGAGTGGTACACAGCAGGGAGCAGTGTGGATGGGACTTTGACCCAGTCTGGGATCGGGGAAGATTTCTAGGAGGTGGCCTTAATGGGAGGCCTCCTAGAAGCATGGAAGGGAACAAGCCACAGAAGGCATCAGGATAGGGGCCTTCCAAACCAAGGAACAGCAGAAGCAAAGGCCCTGAGGCTTGAATGAGCTTAGGTCAGTGTGGAACGAATAAGGGGAATGGAGAATGGCCAACAATCCTGTCCCAAGTCACCCATAAGCCCAACTTCAAAACAAACTTTCCAGCACTCGCCAGCAGGAGGCGCAAGGGACCTGGTGTGTGTTGGGGTGGTCCACTCTGGGCCCCATGAGTGCCTGCCTGCCCACCACTTCTGGTCATAGGAAGGAAGAACTCATCTCATCCATCCCCCTCCTCAGAGAAGAAGACACCAGGCCACAGGCTGGCCCCCAGGCCTGCCTGGGTCCTCACCGAAAGCACAGGGTTTCTCAAGACAGGTGCTCTACGGGGTGGGGCGGGGGTTGCAGGAGGAGAGGGCTAGAAAACCAGTCACAGAGGCATATGGGGGCTCAAACCCCACACTGCCTGGGAAGGTAGCTCTTTGCCCGCGGCCCTGCGTCCTAATTGCTCTCGTGGTGCAAATTAGGGTGGCGTGTGCCGCCCGGCTCGCTCATCAGCTCGGGGGCACTGTGCCTCCCGGCTCTGAGTCCACCCCCAGGGACGGAGTACAGGGGCGGCGGGGGAGGCTGGAGCCTTCTCCTGGACCACCTCCTCCCCCTAATCGCCATGCTGTCTCCTCTGCATTTTTTAAAATGTTCATAATGATGACAGTTTAGTAGAAACCCAGCGCTGGGAGATACCCAGAGAATACAGAGTACAAACTGTGTGCCAGGCAAGGGCACACTCGTGTGCTCAGCTCAGCTCCACAGCAGCCCAGGCTGCAAGGGCTGCTGCTGCCCCTCTAGTCGGCAGTGGGGGGTGGATGCTGAGATCGGACAGGCAAGACAGCCAGGCACGGCGGGACACCATCACCCTGATGGGGACCCTGCCCCACAGCTCAGGCTCAGCTCAAGTGCCAGCTCTTCAGTGCCAGTCGCCGCTCCTGTCCCACCTGCAGGTGACACGGACTTATTTACTGTTTGAATGACTCCTGTCCCTCCTGCAAGATGGAGCCTCAAGGTAAGGGCGCTGCTGTGATCCTGGGGCCCAGCATGGTGCCCTGCCTATGGGAAGGGCTCAGACGTGGGCCTCATGGAAGCATGGATGGACGTAAACACCATCCCACTACCCGTGCTCAGTAAGCATCCCCCCTGGGACCTGGGGAGACGGAGATGAGCCTTGGGCCATGGGGAGGCACAGGGAGGGCAGGTGCAAAATGATACCTGAGTTGAGGATGGTGGGCCTCGTCTTGGGGGGCCGGGTGCCACTGCCACTGCTGCTGGTCCCACCGCCCTTGCGCGTCAGCTGTAGGGAGGAGTCCTGACCCGGGATGGAGATGGACTTGGCGGTGGACGGTGGCCTTGGGAGGACAGATGGCTGTGACTGGGGTGCCCCACGTTCGGGAGTCAAAGACAGAGGAGGCCAAGAGCCCCGAGGAGGGAAGAGTCCCTGTGTGGCACCCTCCCAGCCTGTGCCCACACTCACGTCTTAAAGCAGGGGTCTCCGGAGAGCAGAAGCATCCCAATGGTGACCTGCACAGAGGGAGAAATCAGCCATACCGCACCCATCTGCAGCCCGGGTGCCTCCCCGTGGCCCCTCTGCTCTGGCTGCCAACAGGCTAGACTCTGATCCTGTCCCTGCCCCTTGCTAGACCTGGCAAGGCCATGGAAACGCACAAAGCCCCCGTTTCCTTAGGTGGAGGCGAGGACCAATCCTGACGCCTGCCTCCTGGGATAGTGGAGAGGACAAGGGGAGATGACGCTTTGCGTGGCTTAGTGCCCAGCACACAGCGCAGGCGGCAGGAAAAGTTAGCTACTGTTACTCCAGAACCACGGCTAGGAGAGAGGCCACAGTCCCTCTCCAGTCTTAGGTTCTTCTCACAGCCTGAGAGTGGGCGTGGGCACACGAGCTCCACACAGCAGGCAGGTAGGAGGGAGGTTCACAAAGCCCACCCGGGTGGGGAGGGGCTCCCCAGGTATAACACAGGGCACGGGGGTGGGGGATGGGGTGCACACAGACTCCGACAAGGAGCGGGGAGGGGTGAAACTTTGTTGAGTCAAGTAAAGCAAGAAGCCACCAGAAATTCAACACCCACTTTGGGCAGAGATTTCGGCAGTGGTCCGAACAAGGCAGTGTTGGGTCCCCAAATCTGGGCCAAGATGGAGTGACAGGAAACGGGTGATAGGACAGGAAAGGGGGCTCATATCCCAGTGTCGCCACTGACAAAAATGGAGATCACTGGGCTGAGATTTTTAAAGATTTTATTTATTTACTTTAGAGCGAAAGAGTGAGAGAGAGAATGTGCACAAGCAGGGGAGGGGCAGAGGGAAAGGGAGAGAGAAACTCAAGCAGACGCCACACTCACGGCAGAGCCTGACATGGGGCTTGATCCCTCGACCCTGAGATCATGACCTGAGCCGAAACCAAGAGTCTAATGCTTAATCGACTGAGCCACCCAGGCACCTCCCTGCCCCCTGTTTTTGGGGAACTAAACTCTACGTCCAATGTGAAGCTGGAATTCATGACATGAGGTCCAGAGTCGCATGTTCTACTGACCGAGCAGCCAGGTGCCTCCTGAGGCTTCTTTTTTTTTTTTTTTACTGAATTATTTCATTTGGCTGTGATAGCAGCCTACAAGTGGGGGACGGCCCCAGGCTGCAGACAAGGGGAGCGGCACTCAGACTCCAGGGGAGCGAGGGCCCACAGCGCTGCAGACAGGACGTGGGGGAGCCGCCCCTGCAGCTGAGGCCACTGAACCCCCTCACGCCGTGATTTGCCTACGGGTACACAGGGTCACTGGGGCGAGACCGAAAGGCCCTAGCCCCCACCAAAACTAGCCTCCACCTTTCTGGGTGCCTCCGGTTCCCTCTGCGAAGGGTCCGGGAGGCTGCAGAGCCCCCGTCCGCCGCCGAGCTCTGCTTTGGGCACAAGCTGCTTCCTCTGGGTCAGCTCGTAGAGGTGTGGTTACGCCAAGGCTGTTTTCTCAGCCAGGTGGAAGGGTGGAGGACAGGAAGAGAGGCGTGCTGGTAGCAGCGGATGCCCAGATACCACTGTCCTGAGAGGCCCGAGAGCCAGCGGCCTGGAGGGAGGGAGCTGGCCCGGCCGCTGGAAGTGGGCACGTGGCTGGGCTCTAGGAGCAGACACACCAGTTTGCCCTGGCCGAGGGGCAGCCGGTTCTTCAGCTCACTGACTCTCCCCTGCAAGCTTGGGCAGCCTCATGTCACATGGGGCAATGGTTGGGAGCTGGACTGTGAAGCTGAGCAGCTGGGAGTCAAGTGTCACCTCTGCCTGTGACCCCAGGCAAATGATCTATCTAACCTCTGTGCCTCAACCCCCTCCTATGCAAAACTGGCTCCAAGAGCAGACACTACACGCCATGGGGCTGCTGTCAGGCATCATGAGACGAGAGGTGGTGAGCGCTCGGGGACGCGCATTTCAGCCAACCCTTAGCGAGACTGCTGGGACGCACCCGATCCTGGACTAAAGATGGGGAATAAGGCCACTGCAGCGCCAGGCTACTAAGGGTGGTTTCCTGGCCCCGGGACCACATCTTCCCAGTGTCTAGGAGGGGCATCTGTATTTTTTTTTTTTAAGATTTTATTTATTTGTTTGACAGAGTGAGATCACAAGTAGGCAGAGAGGCAAGTAGAGAGAGAGAGGAGGAAGCAGACTCCCCGCCAAGCAGAGAGCCTGATGCAGGACTCGATTCCAGGAACCAGAGATCATGACCTGAGCTGAAGGCAGAGGCCCAACCCACTGAGCAACCCAGGCGCCCGGGCATCTGTATTTTTAACAACCTTCCAGGGGACTCTGATGAGGAGCAAGTTGGCCCCCGCCCCTTGGTGGGAGGGGACAAAAGAGGGGGCAGGGCCCTGGTACCTTGAGGATGGAGTTGTCCTGACGGGTGTTCTTCGTGTCATATCCCTCCAGCAGGCAGCAACGCACTGTGGAGCCTGAGCCTGCGAATTCGGCCAGGTTCAAGTCGGCAAAGCCCAGCTAGGAGGGACAGAGAGAGTGTGGGAGACTGTGGGAGACTGCAGGAGATGTGGGTGCCCAGCAAGTGGCACAAGAGTTCACTTGGCGGGGGGCCGGGGGGGGGAGGCAGATCCCCCGGGCCCACCCCACAGCCCAGACTGAGTATTGCATAATGGCACCCAAGGACAGAGGCTGGTCTGGAGCTCACATCCCTAAGCCACACAAAGCGCCCTTTGTGCAAGGTCCCAGCGTGCACTGGGGCAGCGCCTGAGATGAAAGGACATTGTTGTCTGTGACACAGAGGCATTGTTCCCTGGGAAACAAGGCTGTGCTGTGGGAGCCGCCAGGCCAGCGGGCAGGGGGAGGGAAAGCCCGTGGGAACTCGATGTGGGGGTGGGGGCGGGCAGGAGGGCCTCACGGAGGTTGGAGTGAGGGGTTTGTAGGAACACCTGGCTGCTCCTGGGATGCAGACAGAGGCACCAGGGATGCAGAGGGAAGTGGTAGCACATTTGAGAACAGGGTATAGGAGCTGGGAAAGCCTTTGAAAGAAGCCAGGTCTCCAGACCTTGGGGAGGAAACTGAGTTGAGGTGGGAGGGTGCTGGGATTAGGACAACCAAACCAACAGGTGGCATTTATTGAGCACCTACTACATGCAAGTCTCTACTGCAGAGTTTAGGCGCACACAAGCCAGAATCAGAGACATGGCAGGTTCAAATCCCAGCCCTGCCATCGAGTCAGAGGGACCCCCATCTGGCAGGGAAGGAAACTAAGGTTCCAGTGGGGAAGTGATTTATTTGCCCAGGGCCCCACACAGCCCAAGACCAGGCCCAACCAGTGTCCAGACCAGCTGCCCTCTGGGCCCCAGCTTCCTTCCCTGGAGAATGGAGGCAGGGCCTGTCATGGGTGTTTGCTCACAGGACAGAAAGGAAGGGCCTGCAGGTCTGACTTGTGCCGGGCGCCTGGTAAGAACCCGCTGGATGGGGGTGGGAGGCCTCAGCTGTCTGTGCCTATGTGACTTCACGGGAGGAGAAATTTCCACTCTGGCGGCACCTTCCACAGCCCAGTCCTGGCCACCCTGCCCTGTTTCTGGAGAGGGCCACCAGCGCCCGGGCCGGGGCAGAGCAGATGGCCCAGAACACAGAGCTTCCTGAGCTCCAGTCAGTGGGAAAGGACACACCTTCCACGCAGGGCAAGGTGAGGCAAAGGCATTTCCCCTCCAGGTAGACTGAGTTCACCGCCTGCTGCCAGGCCACCTCCCAGGGGCCACAGAAGGTGGGCAGTGTGTCCCCACCAAGAAGGGGGTCTAGGGCAGAGCGGGCTCATTCTGAGCCAGAGGCAGCCCCGGCAGAACCACCTTCTCCCACTGGTCCCCGTGGGTGCCGAGCAGACAGCAACAACACAGATGGGCCACAGCAGGGGACCAGCTGGGTGCCCACCACCCAGCCGCACTGGGGGGCATGGCCAGTTAGAAAGCAAAAGGGATCTATGAAAACGTGACCACGGCATACTGGCAAGTGACAACCACACCCCAGGATCTGTTTAGAACAAGTCCCTTTTGTGTATGTAAGAAGCCTGCTGCCCGCACGTCCGCACACAGGGTGCTCGTTTTCCGTTCTTCCAAACCGCAAGCGCGTGGGTTTGACTCGCTGCTCTGTGCATACGTCATAATCTTCTTTTCCTTAAAAGGTCTGGGAAGACCTTAACGAATCCAAGGGTGGGATCTGGGGAGGAAGGCTGCAGAGGAAGGTGTGGAAACTGCCCCTTCCACTCTGAACTTCTGTACCGTTTGTGTTACAACAAGCCCAGGGTAGCTTTGTACTAAATGCAAAGACTATCAATAAAGATATTTCTAAGAAAGAATACATCTGCAGAGCTGAGTGCCTCCTGTTTGGTGCAGAGAGGGGCCGAAGCTCTTCTCCCACACCTAATCTATCTCACTATCCCTTCCCAGCCCCACTCACCTTGGAATAAGCCTTCCCGCCTTTCAGCTCCTGCAGAGAGAGACAGAAGCAGCAGCATAACTACAGAACCCACGGGACCTCACGTGTCTCCCCAGCACCTCCGCCCCGAATCTCACTGCTGGGGATAAGTCAAGCCAACAAGCAGAGGGGCTCACTCCTTGCCCTCTGGAGGGGACAGGTCAGGGGATGGGGCTAAAGCCACTAGATTGGTGGCCTCACACCCCCAAGCCCTAGCCCCCAAGCCTCACCTTGCGCACCGACACGCGGAAGATGCAGGGGTCCAGCAGGCCGGTGGCAGGGTTGGCGCTCATCTTACACACGAAGGTGAACCTCTTCCGCCACCGCACGCAGTTCTCCTGCACCTCCTCCCTGCAGGGCAGGCAGACAGGGGAACACAAGCAGGCAGGTGAACACAGGTATCAGTGACAGGACCGGCCTTTAGGGAGGAGACAGAGGAGCGCAGCAGAGCTCTCACTTTTTACTTTGTATCACAAAGTGACTGTATTTTCATAAAAAGGACATGCTTGTGTAGTGTTGTAAAAACAACAACAAAAAAGTAATAAAAAAATGAAAAAAAAAAAAACCACAAGGTAGGGGTGAGGTCAGGCAGAGGGGAGGGCACTCCTTGCCCCTGCTTCCAGCACTGCCCTCTCACCCTTGTTCTGTGGCTTTGGGGGGCTCCTTCCTCTGTCATTACCTCCCTGGCCCCTGGCCATTCAATCGACCCTCACAACAGTCTTCCCAAACTGGCCCCAGAGCCCATTTTACAGATGAAAAGTGAGGTAAGCTGCTCAATGCCACCCAGTCAGGAAACGGCTGTCCTTCCGCTCAGGGCTGCCTGGCTACGGAGACCCCTTCTATACCACGAACAACAACAACAAGGTTAACAGTAACAGTAACACCGTCTAAGGCTCATATCCCACTTCCCCAGTGCCAGACAGCATTCACGGCACTTCGGCGGCACTGCTCCAAGGGCCAGAGACACACAGTCACACCAATCCTTCCAACCACCGTCTGGAACAGCTACTGCCATTAGGCCAATCCCACATTCACAGACACCGGGAGCTGGGGCCAAGACGCTGGCCCGAGGCCCACCGCATGCACAGCGGAACAGGGACTCGAACCCGAGCCACGGGCTCCCAGTGCCACATGCTTCACTCTCACCATACCAGCCTGAGATACCAACTTGGGGTCCTCAGATTCCCGGATGGTAAGTGGGGAGCTGGTCTTCAGCCCAAGTTCCTTTGGCACCTGGCGGGGGGAGGGTATTACCACACTGAAAAATTCAGCACCCCCGTAACAGGGCCATGCTTTGTGCCCTGGGAGTGATTGGAGCCTGTCCCAGCTGCTCAGCAGGATCTGGGGTGGCAGCGACAAGTTCCGCAGCCCCGTGCAGCCCCCAGTCCCCCCACGGCCTGCCTGGCAGAGCCTGTGCTCAGGAAGGGGTGGCCGCAATAGGGAAGGGACGGCGCAGAGATGTTATCTCCTGCCCCATCATCCCATCTAACAGGAATGGCCGCGTTGGACAGCTGAGGAAGTGACCGCTCCACACCCCGTGGACCCCGGGGTCACAGGTTAACTGCCAGACTGGGGCCTGAGGGGAGGGGCTCAGCACAAATGCAGCAGCGTCTGAACATGGGCGTGTTCACTTCGCACACAACCCTGATGGCAGGCTCTGTGCCACCCTCTTCCACAGCTGAGGGCACTGAGGCTCCAAGAGATGGCCCCAGACCACACCCCCAGAGACTGACAATGCAGGATCGGAAACCAGGACTGTCCCACTACAGTCAGAGCGTTCAGCCATCCCCCTGGTTCTCAGGCCCAGGAGCCTGGAGAAGCCCGGCAGGCAGGATGAACCAGGGATTCCAGGCCTGAGACTCTCACCCGTGTCTCCAAGGGCCAAGTACAAGTGAGGCTCCGAGCTTGCAGGGGACTTGATTCACAGATTAACACTGACAGTTATCCCCGTGATGACTCAGTGTCACCAGGAGAGCGTGGAGGGAAAGGGTGAGTCAGATTAGGTGACTGGCCACAGGGAGGTGACATTCAAGCTCAAAGGGGAACGAAGAGAGGGGCGTAGCCGGTGGAGGAGACAGTTCGAGGCAGAGGAAACAGCATGAGGGAGGAACAAATATGCTTTTGCTTTCCTTGGCCTTGCCACCCCCCGCCCCCCCGCGCCGAGCTTCTACGAGGAGCCCCTCCTGACTGCACGCAAGGCTCCTCTCACATCCTGCCAGGGCTGTGACAAGGGGCAGCAGGACGCAAGTCAGGCAGACTTGGGCTCCCAGCCCTCACATCCCTGAATGACTCAACCAGGGCCTAACTCTCCACCCTCATGGGTAACACAGGTACACCACCCACTCATTTGTGGGCACCTGGGAGCATCCGCAAGCCCCACAAAAGGCCCGGCCTGGGGATTCTGCGAGACATGTCTCATCTGGTGAAGACACGTGGGACCCCAGCAATTCCCTGCAGCCCCAAGACTGAGAACTAGCAGAAAATGTGAGGGCCAGAGATGAGAGGGAGAGAGAGAGGGCCCAGCCTCCAGCAGACAGGGACTGGGACCCTGTCAAAAGCAGTTGTCACAGGAGGAGCCACAGCCCTGGGCTGGGAGCATCACCTGACCCAACCTTGCTGGTTCCACCCATTCATTCAAACATATGCCAGGTGTTGTTCTATGCACGGGGACCCCGGCAGTGACCAACTTACACTGTGGTGGGAGGAAAAAAAATGAGGTCAAGCAAACAAGAAAAAGTAGTGCAAGGAGAGAACTAGAAATCTCTCTCCTGGTGGATACTCTGATCATGTACGTACAAAATCACAACGAATCCACTAAAAACTATCAGAATACAAGACCTTGGCAAGGTTCCAGGATATAAGATAAATATACAAAAATCAAGTATTTCTACATCCTAGTGAACATCCACAATGAAGAAAATAATTCCATTCACAACAGCATCAAGAAGAATAGACGGGGGACACCTGGGTGGCTCAGTTGGTTAAGCGGCTGCCTTCGGCTCAGGTCATGATCCCAGCGTCCTGGGATCGAGTCCCATATCTGGCTCCTGACTCAGCAGAGAGCTTGCTTCTCCCTCCCACTCTGCCTGCTGCTCTCCCTGCTTATACTCTCCCTTTCTGTTAAACAAACAAATAAAACCTTAAAAAAATTCTTTAAAAAAAAAAAAAGAATAGACGGGATTACATTTAACAAAAGAAGTACAAAATATATATATTCTGGAAAACTAGGAAAATTACTGAAAGAAATTTAAGAAGATCTAAATAAACAGAAAGACATCACACAGTCATGTTTCCGAAGATCAAATGCTGGCAGGACAATGCTCCCAAATTGATCTAAAAATTCAACACAATCTCAGCGGGCTTCTTTGCAGAAATTTGACACATTTATCTTAAACCTTGGAAATTTAAGAGACCAGAATAGTCAAAGCATCTAGAAAAAGTAGAAAAGAACATAATTAAAGGATTCACATGTGTTTGACTACAAAACTCCTACAAAGCTTCCATAATCAAGGAAGTATGGTTCTGGCATAAGGACAGACACAGAAGCCACCGGAATAGCATTGAGTTCAGAAATAAACCTTCGCATTAATGGTCGATTGATTCTCAGAAGGGTGGGGGGGCCTTTTTAACAAAAGTTGCTAGGACAATGAGATACTAACATGAAAAAGAATGAAATAGGACCCATTTCTAATACCATATATAGTAACTAACTCAACAGAGATCTAAGAGCTAAAACTACAAAATCCTGAGGAAAAAAATACAGGATAACTCTTTGTGCTCTGGGATTAGGCAACAGTTTCTCAGATATGATGCCAAAAGAACAGGTGACAAAAGAAAAAACAGAAATACTGGACTTGATCAAAATTAACCTTTTTTGTGGCTCACAGAGCACCCATCAAGGGAGGGAGAAGACAGCCCACAGATGAAGGAAAATATTTGCAGACCCCACATATAACAAGGGACTTGTCCCTAACAATATATAAAGGGTACTTAGAACTGACCAGTAAAAGACAACCCAATTTAAAAATGGGCAAATGACCAAATGCGAACACATACTTCTCCAAAGAAGATGCACAAGTGGCCAGTAAGCACAGGAGATGCCCAGCGTCACTGGCCATCAGGGAAACACAAATCAAAACTATGATGAGTGACCCTTTCACATGCACTAGGAAGGCTATAATCAAGACTGATCATAACAAGAGTTGGCAAGGAGAAACTGGAGCCCTCACACACTGCTGGTCAGAGTGTAAGGGGGTGTGGCCCCTTCGGAAAATCGCCCGGGCACTTCCTAGAAAAGTTAAACACAGTCACCTTAGGACTCAGCAATTCTACTCCAAGCTGTACATCCAAGAGAAATGAAAGGTAAGTCCACAGTCTTCGTAACAGCTGGAAAGTGAAAGCAACTTGAATGGCCACCCACCGGTGAATGCCTCCGCACACGACGGGGTACGTAGGATTCAGCAGTCAAAAGAAACAAAGCACGGATACCCGGTACAATGTGGCTCAACCTTGAAAGACGCTCAGTGAGAGAAGCCAGTCACAAAACCATGTACTGTGTGATCCCACCTACATGAAACGTCCAGAATGAGCAAATCCCTAAGAGTCAGAAAGACTGGTGACTGCCAGGGGCTGGGGGAGTCCGAAGGAAATGCGGAGTGGCTGCTGATGGGTATGGGGTCTCTTTGGGGTGATGAAAATATGCTACAAGGGACTGTGCCCATGGTTGCACAACTCGGTGCACAGACTAAAAGCCAGTGAACTGTATGCTTTAAATAGGTGGTAGGTGGGATAAAGAGAGAAACATGGAGAAAACAGAGGGGAAGGTGGGTCAGGATTGCTGAGAAGAGACAAGAAGGTGAAGGCTGCTACTTCTGGCAGATGGCTGGGTAAAGCCCGAAGGCAGTGACATCTGAGCAGGGCCAGCATGAGGAGGGAAGACATAAAAGACTAGGGAGAGCTGTCCAGATGCATAAACGGCAAATGCAAAGGCCCTGAGGTAGAAACATGCTTGGCGAAAGTGGCCTGGAGGCAAGTGGCTGAATGGGACTGGGGAGGAAAGCAGAGGGGATGTGGCTGGGGAGGGGGCAGGGGTTAGGCATCATGTAGGACCTCAGGGGCCATGGTGAGGTCTTTGAATCGAATTCTGATGGTGGCTCTGTCTCTGCCTCAATGGCCTGAGGCAGAGACAGAGAGCAACCCCAGAGTCGGTGGGTGGAAGGGAAAAAAGAGAAGAAACATTTCCCGAGCAACCATAAGCCCAAGCCTAAATGGGGGACCTGGGGGGCGGCCATGGCTTCCATGGGGACCCTCAGATCTCCACCCACCCCCTCCACTCAACTCAGCCCAGGAGC